TGTTGAACTCTTGTTGAAAAGAGAGGAACACCTCAATATTAAAGAGGGATTATGGAATTAGCTTCACTCCTAAAGTGTACGAGGTATGCGCTTCGGAGAGTTTTGATAGGAAAATTGTGTTTGTTGTTTTTTTGTTGTTCTTATGTGTACATAGAATAAAATAAAAAAATAAAAACATGGAAAAATACCAAAAAAACCCTAATGACATTACTTACCGGTATGTTATGGCACACTATCCATGCTTCTTTTCTAAACTGGACGGGTTATCTGTTTTCCTGATGCACACATTTTTTATGTCTAAACCTGGAACTCAAAATGCTCTCATCAGATGTCTCTAGGTAATCCCATAATAAAATAAAGTCTCACAAAACTCACATAGCATGAAATGTAAATGACTGATTATCTGGTTTCTTTACATTTTATTATTTACTACATGAGCAATAACATGTCCATTCAGTTGTCCCTCTGCCCCTCTTTTTCCACTTATACACTCACTAGCTGGACAGAATACTTTTTACTGTCTAAAAGCACCTCACAACTATCTTCAACTAGCAGCATACAAATAAATTCTCACTCAACTGTCTCCATTGTTTGGTCCAAGTTACTCTAGGCTGCACTTGATATAGTAGAACGGTTCTGGTGTACCTAATGTACCACACAGGAGAGAGGGAGACAGACTAGCACTAAGCTGCTCGAAAACTGGTAATGATAGGGATTCACTAAAAACCTATATAGAACAAGGGAAAAGAACTCTCTAGAAGAGTGGGAATACCAGGAGCTGGCTAGGTGACTAATGGCTAAAATACTACTACATAGAGAATAAAAATATAAAAATATAAATATATATATATGGTACTATGCCTTTAAATCTGGAATGGACAAAGTATCCCTATAAATGTGCAAAAATGTGAATAAAGGTGCTATGAGTGGAGATCTCAAATAAACGGGATATCCCTTTAAATATGCAAAAATATAAAGAGAATGCTGCTATACCTTTAAATGTCCTTTAAGAGTGTGCAAACATGCAAAGCAGTGCTATATAGGGGGGGTGATAAATAAAAAAACAAAAAAATAAATAAAAAAAAAAAACGTATGTATATATATAAATAATTAAATAAATACAAAAATGCATAAAGGGGAAAGATGAGAGACCAAATTCTCTGCTGGATGACCAAAAAATATGTATGAAACTGGTGTCTATATCCCAAACAACATGAGGGATAAATGATACCTGTTGCAAATAATATACTTAGTAAAAGATAGAAGTAAAAAATAATAAGCTATACAGTACAAGGAACTGTTAGCTTTAGGCAATAAAAATGAAAACAATATATCGCTGGAAAACTGAAGCATAAAACTGGATCACTTCATATAAGAAAAAATGCCAGTTTATTGAATATATTAAAATAACTTTGGAAAAAGTTAAATATAAAAATACAGGTCACACTAGATTCAGAAATGTATTACCAGACTGATGCATTGAGAAATAACAGCAAGGACCTTTGGATTGTTAAGGATGGATATGGATTGTGATGATTCAATATACAGCTGCCGGTGAGGATGGCTTGTGTCTGTGAGCACGTCCCGAGCAGGAGCCTCACTTCAGGGGACGTGCAGGACAGATGCCTCCGGTGGCGGTACTTTCCAAACAGGTCCTGCGTGTGGAGATTAGTGGTGCTGCTGGTACATCCGTCTGATCCCGTGTGTTGCTGGAATGCCTGTCTTATGCGTTTTGTAGGGAATGGGCCCTACTTCATCAGAGACATAATAGTGTCTAGTGCTTCAGTTCTTCTTTATATACATTGCCTAATTATCAATCATACAATTAGGTGTTAAAACCAATATATTCTATACTAATAAAAACAGTATTTGTACCTGCATAAAATGATACATACATATACATAAAATGCAAATCATTGCCACTAGGGTAAAAGCAATATTTATAAAGTCTCATAAAATGTAGACAAATACATAAGACCGGTAAATGTAAAAATACATAAAAGCAATATATGAATGTTCCAAATGGAAGGAACATATATAATGAATCAATTAGAGATAATGAAATGCTGGACATAAATTGGTATATATACATGAAGATAGGTGGATAAAATCATAATAGTATATTGACTACATATGGATAACCAATACTAGATAGGTACCATATAGGTATAGTGTGAATCCATCCTTCTAGGAGAAAACAGGAGAAAAATAATAGTTAATATATACAAAATAGATATAAATAAATAAATAAATAATCCCTGGTGGTGGTCTGTAACTATAAATAAAGGTGGAAAAAAAAAAAAAAAAAAAAAAAAAAAAAAAAAAAAAAAAAAAAAAAAAAAAAAAAAAAAAAAAAAAAAAAAAAAAAAATCTAAAAATAAAAAAAGATAAATAAATAAATAACTATAAATAAATAAAAAAAAAAAAATGTATATATTATAGGAAAGCATTAAGCTCAAAATCTACATTGAGTCCCTTAGGGACCAAAGTCCCTAACTTAAAAATCCACTTCGCTTCTGTCTGATCTAGAGCCTTATCAATGCTGCCTCCTCTCCAGTGGGTATTCACTTTCTCAATAGGCATAAATGCAAGTCCTGTGGGTCTCCCCCATGTATCTCTTTAAAGTGCTTGGAAAGATTATGCGTTGGAAGTCCCTTCTTAATATTTCTAATGTGTTCAGCAATACGTATTTTGAGGGGTCTTTTTGTACGTCCAATATATTGTTGTGGGCATGGACATGTTATTAAATAGATGACTCCTGATGTGGTACAGTCCATGTTGGTCTTGATATCATATTCCTCTTGAGTAGTGAGGGATTTAAATCCAGTGGTTGTGTCTTCTAATGATGGATTATTTCTACATGCTAGACACTTCTTGCATCTTGTGAAGCCACTGATGGTACCTTGATCCAAATCAGCACTTTCAGGTTTAGTGGTCAGTGCCAGCATAAATTGCAGGTTGGGTGCCCTAGTAAAAATAATCTGAGGTTGATTGTCGAGGAATTTAGATAACGTTGGATCATTCTTAAGGATCCCCCAGTGCTTCCTTAGTGTCTTCTGTATTGTATGAAATTGATGATTATATTTAGTGATAAAGGTGGGTGCTGAATTGGATACTTCTATGGTGCTGGGTTTATTGCATAAGGTATCCTCTCTTGGGGTGGTAAGTGCTATATCCATAGATTCTTCTAATAGCGTTGGGGGATAACCCTTTTTCAGGAATCTCTGCTTCATTTCTTCCATTTGTGACTTACACATTTCATTATTCGAGCAGTTGCGTCTTACCCTTCTGAACTGGTTCTGAGGTATGTTTCTTAACCATGTTGACTTGTGATGACTGTTAAAAGGAATAAAACTATTACAGTCCACACTCTTCTTAAAAGTCTTGGTGTTGATTTGTCCCTCTTTGATATAGATATCCAGATCTAAAAATTCAATGTGTTCTTTAGAGTGGTTAAAAGTGAAGTTCAGATGATATGGGTTGTTGTTAAGATACGTTTTAAAACTCTCTAAGGATCCAAGGTCTCCTTTCCATATAAAGAAGCAATCGTCGATATATCTGAGCCACAAGGACAGATTTGCGCCAAATGGGCAATGGGTCCATATAAATTCTTCTTCCCATTTGCCCATAAATAAATTAGCGTAACTTGGCGCAAATCGTGTCCCCATGGCCGTGCCTTCAATCTGTAGATAAAATAAGTCATCACACCAAAAATAATTATGTGTGAGAATAAAAACGATACACTGAATGAGGAAATCAATTTGGTCATTTTTTAAATCGGAATATGTTGCTAGGGAGAATTGTGTGGCCTCACATCCTTGGAGGTGTTCAATTACTGTATAGAGAGAGGTAACATCAGCAGTGACTAAAATCATCTCATCTTCCCACTTAAAATCAGATAAAATGTTTAAAACGTGAGTGGAATCTCTGAGGTAGGATTTTAAACAGGAGACCAAACGTTGCAAATATTGGTCAACGTATTCAGAAAGGTTTGAGGTGAGGGATCCAATTCCTGATACGATTGGCCTTCCAGGAGGTTTCACCAGTCTCTTATGTATTTTTGGTAGATGATAGAATACCGGTATCCTTGGGTATTGGACATACAGATATTTGTATTCTCTTTCATTTAAAATCCCTCTATCCTTTCCGTAATTCAGTATTTCCTTAAGTTCGTCTTGATATTGGATAGTGGGATCACCTTTCAATTGCAGATACGTATTAGTGTCTCCTAATAATCTCAGATTTTCCTCCCCATAATCGCTGGTATTGAGAATAACCAATCCACCAGCTTTATCCGCTGCTTTTATTGTGATGTCTTCAGATCTCATGAGTTGTTTGAGTGCATTCCTTTCTTTTCTGGTCAAATTATCTTTCGTGATTTTCTTGGTGATTTTGCTCCTAAAGTCTTTCTCGACCATTTTTTCAAATACTCGAATGGAGTCATTTTTCATGTGTTGTGGATAAAAAGTGGAGGTTGGGTGTAGCCCAGTATGAGTATAATCCAAATCTGTTTCTTGTTTTGCCATGTCTTTTTCAAGGAAGAATTTCTTAATTGATAACTTCCGTATAAATTTGTGTAGATCTATAAAAATGTTAAAATCTGAATTCTTGGATGTAGGAGCGAACTTAAGGCCTTTTTTCAGAAGGGATGATTCATCGGAGGTAAGGGTCCTATTGGATAAGTTGAAGATTATTACTTCCTCCTTTTCTGTTGTGTCTGCTGTGTCTGTTCTTCGTGTAGTTCTGCTTCTTCTTCTAGATCTCTTAATGTTCTTTTCTTTCTCACATCCGGAGACATGAAATCTTCCACTGAAAATCTCTTGGGGGGAATCCTCCCCCGATTCTCTAAAAAATCATTCTCAGTGTGAATACTGGAGATATGTCTTTGATTATTCTCCAAGTTAGTCTTTCTGTGATCTGGAGGAAGAATTCTAGGGCTTGGGGATGATGTTTCCTTAAAGTCAGACGATTTTCCACTTCTAGGTACAAAGGAGGTCTGCCTTGGATAATGTTGGTATCTTCCTTGATCTCGATACTCTGTCTTTCTGTGTTTATATCGTTGATGGTGTTGGTTATATGTGACTCATTGTAACCTGTTCTGTGGTGGTCTGTTGTATGTCCAGTCCTTAGAAGAATATTTTCTAGGGGTCTTCCGGGATAATAGAGCACCCCTATAGGACTGATGGTATTGGGGTTATTTCTCAATGCATCAGTCTGGTAATGCATTTCTGAATCTAGTGTGACCTGTATTTTTATATTTAACTTTTTCCAAAGTTATTTTAATATATTCAATAAACTGGCATTTTTTCTTATATGAAGTGATCCAGTTTTATGCTTCAGTTTTCCAGCGATATATTGTTTTCACTTTTATTGCCTAAAGCTAACAGTTCCTTGTACTGTATAGCTTATTATTTTTACTTCTATCTTTTACTAAGTATATTATTTGCAACAGGTATCATTTATCCCTCATGTTGTTTGGGATATAGACACCAGTTTCATACATATTTTTTGGTCATCAAGCAGAGAATTTGGTCTCTCATCTTTCCCCTTTTTGCATTTTTGTATTTATTTATTTATTTATATATATACATACTTTTTTTTTTTTTATCACCCCCCCTATATAGCACTGCTTTGCATGTTTGCACACTCTTAAAGGACATTTAAAGGTATAGCAGCATTCTCTTTGTATTTTTGCATATTTAAAGGGATATCCCGTTTATTTGAGATCTCCACTCATAGCACCTTTATTCACATTTTTGCACATTTATAGGGATACTTTGTCCATTCCAGATTTAAAGGCATAGTACCATATATATATTTTTATATTTTTATTCTCTTTGTAGTAGTATTTTAGCCATTAGTCACCTAGCCAGCTCCTGGTATTCCCACTCTTCTAGAGAGTTCTTTTCCCTTGTTCTATATAGGTTTTTAGTGAATCCCTATCATTACCAGTTTTCGAGCAGCTTAGTGCTAGTCTGTCTCCCTCTCTCCTGTGTGGTACATTAGGTACACCAGAACCGTTCTACTTACCCTATTAATTTCACTTTGTGAGGTTTCTTGAGTAAGACTATGGCTTTAAGCAGGAATATTGATTCTATTAGGCTAGAGAGAAAATCCTTCATGGACACCTGGTCACTGAAGGAGAGTGATTTACCCACAACTGAAACTATTCCCCCATCTCAGGGAAAGTCAGACAGTGTTAGATCCCTCATTTACCAACTAGGTAAAACTATGGAGAAAGAGGTCCATGTGTGGTGGGACATAGCCACTTTAGATTTCTATGTGAACAATAACATAGTACCTAGAGGCTTAAGACTATTTAAACGGTCCACATACAAACGTCATGATCAGACTTTACTTAAAAAGTGGGATCAGCTATTGGACAAGGGTTCATTATTGTTAATGGTGTTTCTCATTAATGAAAAGAAAAAAGATTTGACCCAACTAGATCATGAAATTACTGAATTAAAGGCCTCTATCAGACCTCTAGTGGAGAGTGGTGATTATATAGGCCTTTTGGAAAAAATCGAAAAGAGAGTGAAGGACATAGAAGAAAACATCAGGGAAGTCAAAAGAAAGAAAATAATGAGGGATCAGGCCGACTATAGGAATCAAATCCAGGGAAATTGGAAGAAAGATAGGAGACCATTTCACAATTCTCCTATCAAGCATAGAACAGAACCTAGACCCCAATACCATCAGTCCTATAGGGGTGCTCTATTATCCCGGAAGACCCCTAGAAAATATTCTACAAATGACTGGACATACAACAGACCACCACAGAACAGGCAACAACGAGTCACATATAACCAACACCATCAACGATATGAACACAGAAAGACAGAGTATGAACACAGAAACACAGAGTATCGAGATCAAGGAAGATACCAACATTATCCAAGGCAGACCTCCTTTGTACCTAGAAGTGGAAAATCGTCTGACTTTAAGGAAACATCATCCCCAAGCCCTAGAATTCTTCCTCCAGATCACAGAAAGACTAACTTGGAGAATAATCAAAGACATATCTCCAGTATTCACACTGAGAATGATTTTTTAGAGAAACGGGGGAGGATTCCCCCCAAGAGATTCTCAGTGGAAGATTTCATGTCTCCGGATGTGAGAAAGAAAAGAACATTAAGAGATCTAGAAGAAGAAGCAGAACTACACGAAGAACAGACACAGCAGACACAACAGAAAAGGAGGAAGTAATAATCTTCAACTTATCCAATAGGACCCTTACCTCCGATGAAACATCCCTTCTGAAAAAAGGCCTTAAGTTCGCTCCTACATCCAAGAATTCAGATTTTAACGTTTTTATAGATCTACACAAATTTATACGGAAGTTATCAATTAAGAAATTCTTCCTTGAAAAAGACATGGCAAAACAAGAAACAGATTTGGATTATACTCATACTGGGCTACACCCAACCTCCACTTTTTATCCACAACACATGAAAAATGACTCCATTCGAGTATTTGAAAAAATGGTTGAGAAAGACTTTAGGAGCAAAATCACCAAGAAAATCACGAAAGATAATTTGACCAGAAAAGAAAGAAATGCACTTAAACAACTCATGAGATCTGAAGACATCACAATAAAAGCAGCGGATAAAGGTGGTGGATTGGTTATTCTCAATACCAGCGATTATGGGGAGGAAAATCGGAGATTATTAGGAGACACTAATACGTATCTGCAATTGAAAGGTGATCCCACTATCCAATATCAAGACGAACTTAAGGAAATACTGAATTACGGAAAGGATAGAGGGATTTTAAATGAAAGAGAATACAAATATCTGTATGTCCAATACCCAAGGATACCGGTATTCTACCATCTACCAAAAATACATAAGAGACTGGTGAAACTCCTGGAAGGCCAATCGTATCAGGAATTGGATCCCTCACCTCAAACCTTTCTGAATACGTTGACCAATATTTGCAACGTTTGGTCTCCTGTTTAAAATCCTACCTCAGAGATTCCACTCAAGTTTTAAACATTTTATCTGATTTTAAGTGGGAAGATGAGATGATTTTAGTCACTGCTGATGTTACCTCTCTCTATACAGTAATTGAACATCTCCAAGGATGTGAGGCCACACAATTCTCCCTAGCAACATATTCCGATTTAAAAAATGACCAAATTGATTTCCTCATTCAGTGTATCGTTTTTATTCTCACACATAATTATTTTTGGTGTGATGACTTATTTTATCTACAGATTGAAGGCACAGCCATGGGGACACGATTTGCGCCAAGTTACGCTAATTTATTTATGGGCAAATGGGAAGAAGAATATATATGGACCCATTGCCCATTTGGCGCAAATCTGTCCCTGTGGCTCAGATATATCGACGATTGCTTCTTTATATGGAAAGGAGACCTTGGATCCTTAGAGAGTTTTAAAACGTATCTTAACAACAACCCATATCATCTGAACTTCACTTTTAACCACTCTAAAGAACACATTGAATTTTTAGATCTGTATATCTATATCAAAGAGGGACAAATCAACACCAAGACTTTTAAGAAGAGTGTGGACTGTAATAGTTTTATTCCTTTTAACAGTCATCACAAGTCAACATGGTTAAGAAACATACCTCAGAACCAGTTCAGAAGGGTAAGACGCAACTGCTCGAATAATGAAATGTGTAAGTCACAAATGGAAGAAATGAAGCAGAGATTCCTGAAAAAGGGTTATCCCCCAACGCTATTAGAAGAATCTATGGATATAGCACTTACCACCCCAAGAGAGGATACCTTATGCAATAAACCCAGCACCATAGAAGTATCCAATTCAGCACCCACCTTTATCACTAAATATAATCATCAATTTCATACAATACAGAAGACACTAAGGAAGCACTGGGGGATCCTTAAGAATGATCCAACGTTATCTAAATTCCTCGACAATCAACCTCAGATTATTTTTACTAGGGCACCCAACCTGCAATTTATGCTGGCACTGACCACTAAACCTGAAAGTGCTGATTTGGATCAAGGTACCATCAGTGGCTTCTTCACAAGATGCAAGAAGTGTCTAGCATGTAGAAATAATCCATCATTAGAAGACACAACCACTGGATTTAAATCCCTCACTACTCAAGAGGAATATGATATCAAGACCAACATGGACTGTACCACATCAGGAGTCATCTATTTAATAACATGTCCATGCCCACAACAATATATTGGACGTACAAAAAGACCCCTCAAAATACGTATTGCTGAACACATTAGAAATATTAAGAAGGGACTTCCAACGCATAATCTTTCCAAGCACTTTAAAGAGATACATGTAGGAGACCCCACAGGACTTGCATTTATGCCTATTGAGAAAGTGAATACCCACTGGAGAGGAGGTAGCATTGATAAGGCTCTAGATCAGACAGAAGCGAAGTGGATTTTTAAGTTAGGGACTTTGGTCCCTAAGGGACTCAATGTAGATTTTGAGCTTAATGCTTTCCTATAATATATACATTTTTTTTTTCACCTTTATTTATAGTCCCCTTTTTTTTTAATCTTTATTTATAGTTACAGACCACCACTTTTTTTTTTCACCTTTATTTATAGTCCCCCCCCTTTTTTTTTTCATCTTTATTTATAGTTACAGACCAACCCTTTTTTTTATTCATCTTTATTTTTATTTATAGTTACAGACCACCACCAGGGATTATTTATTTATTTATTTATTTATTTTGTATATATTAACTATTATTTTTCTCCTGTTTTCTCCTAGAAGGATGGATTCACACTATACCTATATGGTACCTATCTAGTATTGGTTATCCATATGTAGTCAATATACTATTATGATTTTATCCACCTATCTTCATGTATATATACCAATTTATGTCCAGCATTTCATTATCTCTAATTGATTCATTAAATATGTTCCTTCCATTTGGAACATTCATATATTGCTTTTATGTATTTTTACATTTACCGGTCTTATGTATTTGTCTACATTTTATGAGACTTTATAAATATTGTTTTTACCCTAGTGGCAATGATTTGCATTTTATATATATGTATGTATTATTTTATGCAGGTACAAATACTGTTTTTATTAGTATAGAATATGTTGGTTTTAACACCTAAATGTATGATTGATAATTAGGCAATGTATATAAAGAAGAACTGAAGCACTAGACACTATTATGTCTCTGATGAAGTAGGGCCCATTCCCTACAAAACGCGTAAGACAGGCATTCCAGCAACACACGGGA